GTAATCGTCTTACAAGTTAGAACTTTGTCAATGAAGTCATTGTTACTAACATGGGCATATTAATTGATTGATGAATCGAGGTGAGAGATGAATTTTAACAAATGCATAGTTATGTGTGTATGGGGTTTTTGTACATTTATGCTGGCGTTTGGCTAGTCGTTGTTCAGAAACCTAAGGGTGCTGTATTTATTGGTGGAGTTTAAAGTAAGGTAGTGGGGTGGGGCTAGGGAGGGGATGTTGGTTGGTGCAGTGAAGGTGATTGGGATTAAAGTGGGATTAAGGTGTAAGTTCGACTGGGGTGTAAGTTCAACTGAGGTGTAAGGCGGGGGGGGGGGACTAGGCTGAAGTGAGAGTGGGGGTGGGTGCTAGATGGCGGTTGTAAGACTGGGGTGGATGTGAGAGTGGTGTAATTTTAAAGGGGGGGGGGGTTCTAGGGTGGAAATAAGACCGAGGTGTGAGTGAGACGGAATGGGAGTGTGTGGGGAGGGAGTGAAAGGTGGGAGTGTGTGGGGAGGGAGTGAAGCTAGAAATGAGAGTGGGATCGGAATGAGGATGTGGTTATGAGATGGGATGGGAATTCTTTTTAAAAACACAACATTTTTTTACTTAATTTTCAAGTGGCTTCTATACATTTTGTCACATGATTTAGGTAAAAAGTCCTCCACACGAAACATTTCCTCCGCTAACAAAATGGCACCAGATATCCTCCTCCCATGACGTCACAGAAGCTCAATTATTCAGATCTAAAAATAGCAGCGGCGGATCTGTCAACTCGCTTTAAATCACGCGCACTCACGTGAGCCGGTGTCACGTGTGTGACTTGACTTGGGCAGACCAGTGCTGACGTGTGTGACTTGACTTGGGCAGACCAGTGCTGACGTGTCACTGAATGGTCGTCTGCATCTAGATGGAGTGGATCGAAAACTCCAGAAACTTTTCTGATCAGGACGAACTCGAGTGATTCCTTAGACCCCCCCCCCCCCATCCACCTGACGTCATGATCTACAAATGACCAACTGCACTCATGAATATGCCACCTCTTTTATCAACACTAATGTCATTAGCTTAATGACATTTTCTTTGACACCCACGACGTCATTCTGTTTAGGACACCCCACACCATTAAAACACGCGACATCTGTAAGTGCCACCAAAACTTCTCAATAATCCAATGTTTCTATGTCTTACTACAAACCATCAAAAAAATTAATCAATATAACTATTGAGGAACGTACTTTTAAAATTTGAACTGGAGAGTTGTCCCTGACCTTTGTACTTTGGACATAGAACAGATTGGCTCCCCATGTTTTTTTCACTTAACTCCAGTCACATGACCTATATTTGACCTGGTTTCATTATAAAAGCCAAACACGTTATTTATGTCAACGGTTCAGCTAATTAATCTCGCACCAGATTTGTATCGTCAAAATAAAAATTTAATTACATCAGGACTTTTTAAATATAATACATCAATATAAAATTAAAACATGTGAATAAATGTATCACTGTGTACAATGTAACAAATAATTAATTATTTAACGCACTGGTCACAATACAATTTTACACACTGAATATACACACCGAATTTACACTGAAATTTACATGATGATAATCAGCTTTACAACAAAGTAAAATACGATTTTTTATGACACTAGTTTTTTTTTTTAAATCTGGCCACTTGTTGCCAAGCCTAGGGTTAGCTGAAACAAATCAGCGGTGCGGTTTGGATGAACTTTGTTTCACAAGTCGTCAGCAAATTTTTTGTTTATCTAAACTAACAGTGGCGTCACTAGGTCGGGTGACACCGGTTGGTGGCTCGTGGTGTCACCACTTCATGTACACTGTACTAAAACTGTATATAATTTGGTGTCACCCCACCCCGGATATGTCACCTTGTTAATTCGTTGTTTAATTAACTGGATGAATCCATTTTTAATATTTAAGTTGGGAATTTATTATTGGTGTAACCCTTCAGACGGTAAAATGGTGTCACCAGCTAGTTCATGTCACCCCTTAGATTTGTCACCACTTAATTGATTTCACCCCCTAGATGTATCACCCTTTAGACAGTGTCGCCACTTATTTGGTATCACCCCTGGTGTCACCCTGTGCGGTTCGCACCTCCGCCTTGAGACGCCCGAACAAAGTTTTGATTAAAACTATAAAACAATTATTCTATAATTAACAACATAATGCAACACTACAGGTACATACAAATACACGACCTTTGTCATAAATATTTAGTACGGTAATTAGTTAATTAGTTAATTATTTACAGACAGTGAACTGGTATTGATCTGCTTGGCAACGACTACTGACCAGCAAATTCAAGAATCGATACTACTACATTACGCTGACACAGAGAAAAATGGAGGAACTAACACAATAAATATATCAAAAAGATTGCGCAAAAATTGTAATAAAAATATACACAGTTATGTCCCTTGACGAGATAACTCTGTAGTCATCCACGTATATCAAGGACAGCAGTTTAAAATGTCAAATGTTCCTAGCCACACATGAACCATCACATTCAAGCTATGTAAACAGCAACAACATCTACTGACACAGTTGTTTTTTTAATAATTTGGTCATGAGAAAACGTTGATGCGAGAAGATATTAATAAACTCAGAAACCATAGTGATACAGTGGGGGAGGGGGGGGGGAGGAGGGATGTGGGCAGAGAATGATGATTAAAGCACAAGCTAATACTAGTTGTTGGGTTGTCAACATATTACCATATTGACCAATTTATAGAATAATTGATGGAGTTTTAAAAAAAAAGGTAATCATTTTCAAAAGTTGTTCTAGTTTAGGTTTTTGTCACATTCCATTTGTTTAATGACTATACAATCAAAGTTAATTGGACTCTATTGTGAATTTACAGCGACCAATTAGTTTGATTGACGTTTTTATTTGTAGGAATATCAGTTTTAAGTTTGCGCAATTATTTTTTTTTTTATTTGGACATTAAAAATGAAAATACAGCAGCTAATTAGTTGACATTTAATTATAAATATATTAATTAGATACACCGCATTCTGGCAGAGTAAAAATGTTTTAACGGTAATATGTCCACTTGAGTCGTCTGCTCATGCAGGGCGGCCATTGGCCCGAACACATCACGTGACATTGTTGATCCAATGAGCATCAAGTTTTGCAATGGTTTCACCTGCTCCTCAGTGAAACAACTTGCATTAAACATCAGGGCAGCTTCTTCTGAAACAGATCACATCATAGGGCATTAGACATGTGCCAGGCATTACAATAAACAATTTTTTAACCATTATAAATTAAGGATTGTTTCCATCGAGGGTATACCAGCAGCTACAAGCCACCTATTGGGTTAGTAACCTAGAGGCTAGTGTTATACCCGTGTCCCATAATCCCATAATCCCACATTAATGAAATCTACTATGAAAAGGAGTGATAGGCTATTGGAGGTAAACTAACTACAAATATAATGAGCTAATATTAACACTAACCCTATATCTAACCCAAATCTTACCACAGCGCTAGTCCTAATTTATAACTTAAACACCAAAACCTGAATTACAATAGTACTAACAACCCAATAGCCTACTTTCAGAAGAGTTGATTGTCGGTCAACAATGCTCTTCAACCGAGTTCTAAACCACCCTAGAAGCTACAGGCTATAGTTTCACCATTACCCCCCCCCCCCCCAGATTAAGATGAAACTATTCACATAAGTTACCCTACTTCAGAAAATCCCAAGAGCTGTAACGATGTAAATTGCTGGTTTGTGTGAGGATCAAATGTACACAAACGTTTGTTCACCCGCCCATAGTGTAAACAATGAGCTAATCACGATCCTACCCACCCCTAGCAGGTATGTTCAGTGTACTACTGATTGCCTATGATCAAATCATTAATTCCCACCCACCCCCCCTCCCATTTACACCATATCCCTTATTCTCCAAGTTTCTTCCAAAGACACACGATTTATTTGGTCGTCTAATTAAACTAAAAATTAACGTGAAGTATACGTATATGTTCTATTTAGTTCGAGGGGTGAGGTGGGAACCTCCCCACGAAGTAGAATATAACAAATTCCTTTTAAATAACAGTTTGTATAACATTCTGATTAACATTACATTTAGAAAATGTAAATAAACTTCGTCTTAATGTAGGCCTATGTGTAGATCAATATGCAATCATTCAAAAATATTTAATGATAATAAAATGTAAAAAAAATTATCCTAAAATGCAGTTTAAAAGTGCTGAATAACAATTTAAAATACAACGAGAATGCAAACGATACTGACACAGACTAAAGACAAAGGTCTACACCGCTGTAGTAACCTAACACCACACGTTAACGTGGCAACTAGGGTTTACCTTCATTGTGGGGCTAGTTTGTGGGTCAAGGTCGTGTCTTCTTCGCGATGTCAACGTTAGGTCGAGTGCCACATCCGGGTAACTGGACCCCCTCGGCGTCTGTTGGACAAGGTGCATCTAGACCAGGCGAGCCCTAGAACAACGTATAAGCATGCATAGATTGGTGACTACAGGGAGGCAACTGTGGATAGATTTATTTCTACAAGGGAGGGAAATGGACATACTAAAGGATTTAAATCTACAAGTAGTACTAGGGATGGGACTGGGGCTATTCGTTGAATTATATTATAAGGGAGAGCAATGTACGCTAGTCATAGATTTATATTTACAAGGGAGGTAGCGGGGGCTACTGATATATTTATATTATGTAATATAGGTTGATAGGCAATTGAAGCTAGTTGTAAATTTATATATACAGGATAGAAAACTGACGCTATTCATAGTTATATATCGTCAGGGGGAGCAATTGGGGCTAGTCATAGATTTGTATCGTCAGGGGGAGCAACTGAGGCTAGTCATAGATTCTTATTGTCAGGGGAAGCAATTGGGGCTAGTCATAGATTTGTATCGTCAGGGGGAGCAATTGGGGCTAGTCATAGTTTTGTATCGTCAGTGGGAGCAATTGGGGCTAGTTATAGATTTATATCGTCAGGGGGAGCAATTGGGGCTAGTCATGGATTTGTATTGTCAGGGGGAGCAATTGGGGCTAGTCATAGATTTGTATCGTCAGGGGGAGCAATTGGGGCTAGTCATAGTTTTGTATCGTCAGGGGGGGGGGGCATATGGGGCTAGTTATAGATTTATATCGTCAGGGGGAGCAATTGGGGCTAGTCATGGATTTGTATTGTCAGGGGGAGCAATTGGGGCTAGTCATAGATTTTCATCTACAAGTTACAGAAATGGGTTTATTTATCTACTTGAAATTAAAATACCAAGAGAAATTACTCTTAATGCTTGTCTCAAGTTTTACTATGATGTTGTTTCATCCCAACTTGATAATAATTAATATTGTAATAGGGCAACATTATTTACCTACGTGGTTCACACATTTTAAAATAGCAAAACATTTTATCAAATTTTATCTGTGCTTTTATAAATTGAGGATAAGGGACATAACCCAGTTCTTCCCAATGCATCAGGATCTATAACTACCTCCGATCGTAAATAGGAAGATGGGGGTTGTGCATTAAAGACTAAAACAAACATGCGATCAAAAGGCTGTTACAAAGCTAATGAGTTAAAATGTAACTCATCATAAAACATAATCCTTTGTTGCAAGTATATTATAAAGGTAAATAAACCGGGAGTGATCTCCCCTAAACTTTCTCGAATATTCTAATATAACACTACGTGGGATGGCAACTCGGAATATAGACATGATTTTTGTTTACTTAAACTTTTAAAAATAGAATAAAATCTAGTAGAAAAAAGAATTGCGCACCAAGTGAACGCCAAAGCAAAAAGCGCATAATAGTGCGCAATATTATTAGTCTAATATATAAAGCTCAATTCTGTATGTAAAAATAAATATGTTTGTCGTTGACATACTTCGATGGATTAAAGTGTTAGACTATTATCGTGCGCATTTGTCTAAATTTATGAGTTAAAAAATTACTATTGAAAGTGTTGAGAAATAATTTTTATTTTTCAAACTGATAGTAATAATTGTCGGCATGTTCATTAAACACAAGTTTTAAAAAAATATCATCTTTTACAAAAATTCTAATTATGTATTTATTTAGTCCTATAGCATTTACTTCCCTTTGATAAATTAGGAAAACACAATTACTTCCCTTTATAAAACCATTGCATTAGTGGAAAAGAATTTACTTTTTATTACTTTGTTTTGGTGTTGGGAAAAAAATAATTACATAATTAGCGGGGATTGATCAAGTGCAAATGTTGTAGGTATTTTACGGATAAGCTTGGAGTATTAAAATTGTTCATTAAATTGAAACAGGCGCGTTCGTTTAAGTGAGTGCAAAAGACTATGAATAAGTTGGGTACTATAGTCGTTTATTAAGCTAAAACAGGCGATTCCGTTGGGTTTGCGTTAGTGGTTGCGGTTTGATTTGGTTCGTCTTTGTTCTTTTTTGTGTTGTTATTGGTTGGTATTGGTGTTTGTGGTTGTGGGTGGGTTTGTTGTTAGGTTTTTGTTTTCGTTTGTATTTGTAATTGTGTTAGCGTTATGTTTGCGTTTTGTTGTTTTGGTTTTGGTTGGTTGTGGTTTGGGTGGGCAATGCCGGGTTAATGATGATTACTAATCACACAGGTAATGGTCTTTAACAGAAAGGTTTTTCACAGAGCAGGGCCTGGCCGGGACGGCTAGTTCTTTATAAATTTACATGCGTTTTTTGAGAAATCGGACATAGCGTAAATTAGTACTTCCGGTCAACGGAAATTACTCAAAATTTGATAGAACGTAGAGAATTAGATCTTTTACTTACATGTGAAATTTCATTTATCTATCTGAAATAGTACTCAAGTTATAGGCTTTTGAAAAATTCAAAGTAGAAAAAGTACCACTTCCGGTTATCGGAAATCGCTCAAAAGTTGATACGGATCTACGATTTTGATAAAATACTTATATATGAAATTTCATCAACCTAGCTGTAACGGTACTCAAGTAATCGTGTTTACACACAGACACACACACACACACAGACACACACACAGACACACAGACATACGGACAAGATTGCAAAATTACGTTTTTCCGTATCAGTGAGGTGTAAAACGTCGAGATTTGTAAAAATCTCGATTTTTTTTTTTTTTTTTTTTTGCACGATTACAATACTTTCTCTATACTTTGTATATACGAGAAAGTAAAAATAAAATACTTAAAAAAAACTTTTTAAAAAACCACGTTTTTCTTGTGGACTAAAAAGTAGAAAATAACTATTTACATACATTTGATGACAAAAAACGTGGGTACGTTCACCATCAAATTTCCCGACCCATCTGCCCGACCCACGTTTTTTGTCATCAAATGTATGTAAATAGTTATTTTCTACTTTTTAGTCCACAAGAAAAACGTGGTTTTTTAAAAAGTTTTTTTTAAGTATTTTATTTTCTCCTTTTTAGTCCGTTGCTACACATGAAAAACGTGGTTTTTAAAAAAGTTTTTTATATAGTTTATTTTCTACTTTATCTAATGACTTGATTAAGTATGAATTGACTAAGTGTTTATAAATACACGGACTAAAAAAATCTTGAGCGACCAGGATTCGAACCTGGGTTGTCGCGGCCACAACGCGAAGTACTAACCACTATACGATCACGGCCAGCGCGCTCACATCGATTGGGGCCGAAGTAACTGTGTCTATAAGCCTCCAGTCTTGTCGGTATCTTTAGAAATCATGTCCTCAATTTTATGGTCCTTGGGGCGTAATTAAATTAAGCTAATTACCGTCTCTAATTGCTAGTTTTTATGATTGCATCTGAAATTGTTAGGCGAAAGTAGCCTACATGCCAAATTTCAGATCTATTGAGCAATCAGAAGTGGGTTAATTTTCGATGTCAATTTTAACAACAAACACACGCGAAGCTGAGTTAATAAAAACGTGTTAAAAAAAAAGGAGTGGCTTTGATTATTAAAAACCAAGCATTTCTTGCTAGATAAAATTGTTCTTTTAACGTTGAGAATATTACTTAGGCTGGTTTCAATTTAATCTATGTTGTTTGAGCACAAATTCACTTTACTAATTATCACCATTGGCTTCACCATAATGTAAATTTTGTTGCTGTAAAACTTAAATGTTACTGCAAACTAATGCGCTTACACACATGTTGATGTAACTTGTTTTATATTATTATATTGATAGTAAAAATATTGAATAGAAAAAAAATGGAGGCTGTGCTGGTATAAAGAAAATTATTATTATTTAATGCTATGTTACATTTTTTTTACTAATTTTTATAATAAAACTGCACATGTAGATTGTTTCATGAATAAATCTCTGCATGCACAGAACAAACCGATGTAACGAGGCTAACAAATACAAGTTTGCATGATCTAATTTAGGTCAACAAAAACAAATTGGCGTGATCCAATGATGTCTCAACAATTACACCTTGGCGTGATCCAATGATGTGCGCAGTGACAGTATGGTGCAGTATGGCAAGATGCACTGCATGCACATGCAATGATGGTGTACTGACTAAATCAGGCTGAGAAATATTTTAATAACGAGATGGACAAGATGTTAGTCGTTAGAAACCTGGTTAGATTTAGATAGTAGGTTCATGAAACCTGGTTAGATTTAGATAGCAGGTATATAAAAAGTTGTCAGATTTAGCTAGCAGGTATACAAAAAGTTGCCTGATTTAGCAAGCAGATATACAAAAAGTTGCCAGATTTAGCTAGCAGGTATATAAAAAGTTGTCAGATTTAGCTAGCAGGTATATAAAAAGTTGCCACATTTTGCTAGCAGGTATATAAAAAGTTGTCAGATTTAGCTAGCAGGTATACAAAAAGTTGCCTGATTTAGCAAGCAGATATACAAAAAGTTGCCAGATTTAGCTAGCAGGTATATAAAAAGTTGTCAGATTTAGCTAGCAGGTATATAAAAAGTTGCCACATTTTGCTAGCAGGTATATAAAAAGTTGTCAGATTTAGCTAGCAGGTATACAAAAAGTTGCCTGATTTAGCAAGCAGATATACAAAAAGTTGCCAGATTTAGCTAGCAGGTATATAAAAAGTTGTCAGATTTAGCTAGCAGGTATATAAAAAGTTGCCACATTTTGCTAGCAGGTATATAAAAAGTTGTCAGATTTAGCTAGCAGGTATACAAAAAGTTGCCTGATTTAGCAAGCAGATATACAAAAAGTTGCCAGATTTAGCTAGCAGGTATATAAAAAGTTGTCAGATTTAGCTAGCAGGTATATAAAAAGTTGCCACATTTTGCTAGCAGGTATATAAAAAGTTGTCAGATTTAGCTAGCAGGTATATAAAAAGTTGTCAGATTTAGCTAGATGTAGCTAAAGTTGTAGATTCCTGACTGTGTGGGGAAATATAAATCTCAGGTTGGTGTCTAGTTATGAGGTTAAATGATTAGGTAAGTTATTAGTTTAAGTTATCTAGTTTTTAAGTTATTAGGTAGAGAATTAGTTACAAGATGTTAATACGTTTGCTAAGCGCAATTTTATTTGAATTAGATTAACCTAGTTGGAGCGTTAAAACTGTTGTTAAAATTGTTTTGAAATTACAACGACGTTAAGAGCGAGCATTCAAGACGAGCCTAATATTGTGTTTAAGTACCATGACATTTTAGTTTGATATGACATTCACGTTAGCTCTTGGAAAATACTTCTCTTAAAATTGTTCAGCATTCTAAAAATAAACTTGACCGTATCTGGACATGCCCGCATACCTGGGAGTTGGGTTCAGACGGCAACATCATACATCCGGGTATTGGAAGCCCATCTGCGTCCAGTGGACAGGGGGCGTCCAAGCCAGGGGCGCCCTAGAGTAGTTGCCAGTTTTGTTTGTTTGGTCGCCATTTTTTGTTAAAGCGCCACCAGGAGCATTGTAGATAAAGTACATGTTGCGTTTATTTAAGGAGAAATTTATACTTTAACAATTTTATTTTTGTGTTGAAACTAATTAAATCGTCTAATTTTTAACATTCTTTTCATATTGATAGAAAAGAAATTGATGAATTAATTTAATAGCTGAATTAAAAAGTTGAGTTTAGACTTGCATTCATTCTACGATTTAAATGTAGAGTAGGCCTATAAGAAATATTGGCTGACTTTGTATAGAGAGAAGCGATAAGTTAAGAAATGAATTGTTAGAAATTGTGCAACCACACAATTGTGCACCACACTGGTTGTGCGAAATGTGCGAAAAGTCAAGCTATGCTGCAAGTGCGGAATAAACAGTTAAGCAGATGGTAGAGGCGTAGAGGCAGCAGAGTTAGGCTGTAAAACTGGTGGTCGGAGGTGTTACTGCATTTCATACATACACAAATATATATGTAACATATAACTACAAAGATTGAGCTGTTAAGTAAATTAGCATAGTAACATTATTATGTGTGAATATTTGATGACTTGTGTGATTGGCTTGTGTGAATGGCTTGAATGAACGGTGTCAGAGTAATCGGTGTGAATTTTATAAGTGTGGCTTATATAAATTGTTTAAATTGTATGGGTGACTTGTGTGTGAGTGACTTGTGTGTGACTTGTGTATGGCTTGTGTGTGAATGCCTTGTGAGTGACTTGTGTGCAAATGACTTGTGTGTGAATGACTTGTGTGTGAATGGCTTGTGTGTGAATGACTTGTGTGTGAATGACTTGTGTGTGAATGACTTGTGTGTTAATGACTTGTGTGTGACTTGTGTGTGAATGACTTGTGTGTGAATGACTTGTGTGTGAATGACTTGTGTGTGAATGGCTTGTGTGTGAATGACTTGTGTGTGAATGACTTGTGTGTGAATGACTTGTGTGTGAATGACTTGTGTGTGAATGACTTGTGTGTGAATGACTTGTGTGTGACAGCTGAAATGTGTGGTAGAATCCACCCACATAACTATTTTTTTTTCTACTGAAAACACATTCTGTTAAGATCTTTTAAACTGCTGATACCGTTATCATTACGTAAATATAATTTAAAACTACTCATTATCGCACAAACACATTTGTATTATGTGCCCTCTCCTGCCCCTACCCCCACCCTACCATTAAAATATACCAAACAAGAGCCAACAATGTTTTTAACTTTAATTAACCTGTTCTTAATGTGTCCGCACAATGTTAACATCAGCCAAAAATTGACAGCTTTTGAAATTGGCTTAACCTCGCTACAGCAACACCAAATGCGTGTATCTAGAGTCTAGTGGTGTTGTAACAACAATGTCACAACAGTGGAACAACAATTTTACAACTAACAGGACACTTGTCTTTCAAAAAGTCAGCAACAATTGGTGCATAAAAAAATGTGCTGGCTAAGAACAGAGGTCGTTGACTTAGTTATCGTGATGATGATTGTGATCAGGTGAACTACGGACTAGGTGGGCTGACGATAAAATATCTACTAGAATCTAGAGATAGAAAACAACAGGTAGAAAAACGGGAAGAAAAATCTTACCGGGTCTCCTTTGTCGCCTTTGAAACCTTTCTTTCCTTTTTTTCCTTTTTTACCCTGAAATAGAGAAATTGACAGTATAGTTTTAAAAAATTTGAATTAATACGGGTATACATTTTTTTAATAAGTTAAAAGCATAATTTTTTTAAAAAAATTAAAGCTTTGTTCAGTAAGTGGCAAAGAATTATTTAAAAAATGCATTCGTCGTCCTATATTTAAAACATTTTTAAGTAAATAGTGATATTTAAGTTTAAAATGTAAATTAATTTGTTCTTTTATTGATCAGAAAAATGAATCAATAATTCAACAAGCACGTGGTAGGCATTATGTCTTGAATTATTTGCATAACGAGAGATTAACGGATTACTTCTGACACCACTCGAACAACATATCGAGGGGACGAAGGCGGCTATCTATCATTAGTGTTCCATGCTTAGCTCGCTTAGGGACACACAAGTGATGCACCAGCGATGCACCAGTTGAACACCGCTGTGACGCATATCGGTGTCATAAAATTTCCTGCTAAATACAACAATTGCACCTGTAACTAAAATTTGCACAATAAAACACTAAATAGAATATTTTATTCTGCTTAAAACAGCTTGGTTTTTCGATTGAACGTTCTGAAGATTAAATAACATTCATTGTGATAGAAAAGTTTAAATCTTATGGTTGCCAGTTAAAGTTAACGAATCAGTTTTGTTGTGCGTTGTTTAATATTGGTTTTTCTTTGGGTCACATTTTTACATGTGTGTAGCTTGTCTTGCTCAATTACTTTTCTAGACGTTGTATTCATCAACACAACTTTTTGCTATTCGATTTCTTCCTCTACCAACACGCACACACACAACTTACTCCACCTACTATAACAAGCTTACAGACCAACAACCTCACCCTCACAGACACACACCCATCGACCTCCTCTGCATCAACACGCTCCCAACACACGCCCTAAAGCTATCCCTCCACCACTTCCCCTCCTCTCATTCACACACAACAGTCACCAGTATAAGATGTATGAATGTGATAGCGTGTGATACTATCACACACAAAAGGTTACCACTCACTACGACGTCTACGTGTCACCTTTCACTAGCCACGTAATGTGTCACCACCCACTACCCAGTCCACGTGTCAACACTCACTACTACGTCCATGTGTCACCACTCACTACCACGTCCATGTGTCACCACCCACTACCCAGTCCATGTGTCACCACTCACTACCCAGTCCACGTGTCAACACTCACTACTACGTCCATGTGTCACCACTCACTACCACGTCCATGTGTCACCACTCACTACCCAGTCCACGTGTCAACACTCACTACTACGTCCATGTGTCAACACTCACTACCACGTCCATGTGTCACCACTCACTACACAGTCTGTGTCACCATTTACTATAATGTGTCCAAGAGTCACCACCACTAGTCTTCTCATATTGTATTTAACCCGACATATATAAAAGTAACAATTCGGTTAAACTTGACCAGAAGCAAATAACTTTAACTGAAGACAGAAGTTAACTTTAGGCTTTCACGTGTGAAACAGTCGGGACCGTGCATGACGTCATGTAAGATAGTGTGCGAGAAAATATGGTGAGCAGAACGTGCTTTGTGCACGTGCATGTTTACACTCGTCCTTTCAGATTAACCGACATATTGATATCAACAGCTGCTCGTGCTACATACTATCAACGTTACAAGTAACAAACGGCTGTACTAACTACTGTACAACCTATCAACAGTGCTGTACCACTGTATATTGTACCACCTAGTAACTACTGTACCAGCTAACAACTATACCACCTACTATCTAAATCGACCTCCCCCCCTCACAATCCTACACTATAAACTCCCCCCTTACAATCTTACACTATAAACTCCACCCCCTTACAATCCTACGCTATAAAGCCCCCCCCCCCCCTTACAATCCTACACTATAAAGCCCCCCCCCCCTTACTATCTTACACTATAAACCCCCCCCCCCCTTACAATCTTACACTATAAACTCCACCCCCCCTTACAATCCTACACTATAAAGCCCCCCTCCTTACAATCCTACACTATAAAGCCCCCCCCTTACTATCCTACACTATAAACTCCTCCCCCCTTACAATCTTACACTATAAACCGCCCCCCTTACAATCCTACATTATAAACTCCCCCCCCCCTTACAATCCTACACTATAAACTCCCCCCCCCCCGCTTACAATCCTACACTATAAACACCCCCACCCCCTCTCTGATCACCCCACCACCCATGACATTTTCCCATCGTCAGTGACCCCACAAAGGTCAGCCTCTGTCTGACATTAAGTCTGTTGTTGTTCACATTTAACTGTGATGACGCTCCCAAAAATATCAAACAAAAACCAACAACAAAACCAACACACCATAACCTGGTGTGTTATTTGACCGACTTTATAACCCAGATTTCACCCGAACTCGAAGCTACTAGCTAAAGCGTAGCATAAAAAATCGTACTAAAAAAGTAACACTGTACATTTTTAGAAAATACAAATCATCCTAATTATAACACAAGCTCTAGATAAGCCTAGCACGTGAAGTTACCCCTCATAATTAATTAAACTAATGAGCAGCACGTGTATAGCTCAGAGCTAGGGCAGTGTTGACATCACCCCACACTAGCTTACAGCCCCAGGTTCGAATCTCGGTCAGTATGTGGGGTTTTGTAGGCTATTACTAGACCACCCATAATTAGAACCCAACTGTTCTTTAGGGCAGCCAATCAATACCTACTAATTTTAAGTTGAAAAAAATGGTGTACTCTGCTCCCCCTGTTCTGTCAGTGACTGGTTTAATTTGATTTAACTGTCGTTAGTGACCAAGTACTAACAAAACATACCATTTACAAATCACGTCATCATTAAATATAGGCCGATCTAACTATGTTTTTTTTTCTTTTATAGCAGTGAAGAGGTTGGTGTAAAGGTTGGTGGGAGGGGTTTTGTATGTGTTCTGCTATGTGATCAGAGTTCCTTCCAGGCATCTCTTCGCCCCCTCCCCCCACCCCGAAGAAAGTCTACCGCCCCCCCCCCCCCCTCTGAACGAAATGGAATTCATATAGAAAATATATACTTTTAACAGTGTCGCCCCCCCCCCCCGAAAATTTCAAGTGCCCCCCCCCCCCACCCACCCCGGTGAAAAAAGTCTAGAAGAAACACTGGATGTGATTATAGTTATCTTGAAGCTGAGACCCCATACTCCCAACACAACACATTTTGGCAAATGTTCTACTTCCCTTACACAACATGCCCGTGTCCTATCGTTATTTGTGGCTGGCATGTTAAAGTACAATGGTAGTAACAGACACCCTAGGGTTTTTTTTTTAATGTCTGGGTTATGGCATAACCACATCTGAGGAACAAAACAGCTGATAACAAAATAGTTGTGTCAATAAAAAACAACATAATCATCGGCCGATATCCAGGTCGTTTAAAAAACAATTCATAACATTTTAGAACATGTACTTCTCTACCTAAATTAAATCGGTTGGTATAGTTTTTTTTTTGTAACAGTGCTATATTTGTTTGTTATTTAGAATTTCCATGATAAAGTTGTTTTTTCGGTTCTTATCAGACTTACCCACACATTCCTTGTATGACAGATAATACTAATTAAACTAATTAATACTAATTAAACTTTTGGCATTATGACAGGTGCTGAGGTTGTGTTATTAGTCTAGGGTTATGTCTAGGGTACGAATAGGGCTTGGATATGGCTTGGGAAGGGCATTGATAGAGTATGGATAGGTTTTGGATAGGGCATGGGAAGGGCATTGATTTTTATAAAAATTTAGCCTAGTGGTGTTTCATCCACTCCAAAACCTATGATTATATTTTAAGCTATTCCCAAAAGAAAAATCGACATGGAAAAAATTGCATCGAAAAACAAAAATTGCAGGAGTATTGCAAGGTATTGATTTTCTGCCATTTTACATTTTAAAATTTATATGCTTTTATTTTACTCAATGCGCAATTTTCTATGTGCGCAACTTTTCTGTGTGAGCAATTCTCTTGTTTTCCAGTGTGGCTTTGTCATGCCTTTATTTATCTGGCCACGAAAACAACAAACTATGGACTATAGAGAGACGTAGCGAGGTTATGGATGTACTTTAGACCACGTCCTCACAAATATGGACCGTATCAGTCAACGTCTCACTTGACATGCTTCGTATCTTTTAAAGGTGCAAGGTATTATTATAAGAACTGTTGTGTATGCAGATAAAAGCGATGAGTGGAGTGTTTTTTTAGATCTCATAAATACAGTTTAGAACAGCCTCCATGAGTAACATCAACTTATAATTTGATGAAAATCTTTAGGGTGTAAGTTAGCGAAAGTTAGGCATAAAGGTGGAGGGCGCAGGGTGTATTTTGTCACCGGTATTTTTTTTTTTTTGCTGTTTTACGTTCAATGTGAATAGGTTTCCTACGTTTTTAAAATCTCCTGTGACTAGTTACTATATCTCGACTGTGTGTAGTTTAATCTAATGAGCTTTTTAATTTTTTTTGGCGCCCCTATGATCGACGGCTGGGGCGTCAACCCCCCCCCTCCACACCACCTGACAACGCCACTGGATGACCCACGTTGACCAGAGTGGTGGACGCCCCTAGAAGGTAGGTCATCGTTATCAATACACCTTCTTTAAGTTCAAGGCGAAGAGATTAAAAACTTTCCACCGCGTGACGTCACAGAGGTCAGCTTTTAAAAACGGCGCCTTGTTCTATTTTCGTCTTATTTCTGGTGGCTTTCAAGGTCACTTACGTGTGACACGTCAAGTCAGTGACCTTGGTGTGGAGGCTGGGTCACAGTAAACAACCAGCTGATCAGCTTATCAAGACATGAAGGGTCAGCTCATGATACTGACCGTATCAGCACACACAACTTATGAATGGATACAGCTAGAACTTTCTACAGCACACACAACTTATGAATGGATACGGCTAGAACTTTCTACAGCACACACAACGTATGAGTGGATACAGCTAGAACTTTCTACAGCACACACGACTTATGAATGGATACATCTAGAACTTTCTACAGCACACACAACTTATGAATGGATACGGCTAGAACTTACTACAGCACACACAACTTATGAATGGATACAGCTAGAACTTACTACAGCACACACAACTTATGAATGGATACAGCTAGAACTTTCTACATCCTCTACACAGGAATCCAAGTCTTAACCATTCGAACCCTAATCTTCAGCAGCCGAACCCTACCTAACTTTCATCACCTAAACCCTTGCCAATGCCTAGCAACCGAACCCCAATCTTCGAACACGTCATAGTATAATTATTCTGGTATAAGGTGAGAAAAGGTGGGATAATCATGTAAGAAAGAAGGAGAAAATCCTGTAATATTATGTAAGAAAGGGAAATAATCCGGTAACATTATTTAATAACGGAAGATAATACTGTAAGAACGGAAGAAAATAATGTAACATATATAATGAAGGGTGATAATAATGTTGCATTATATAAGGAAGAGGGAGATAATCATGTAGCTTTCTGTACAAAGAGAGAAAATCCATCAAAATTATGCAAGAAAGAGGTAGATAATATTATAATATTATGTAAGAAAGGGAGGTAACTGTAACCTACCGGTGGTCCTCGGTCACCTTTCTCGCCTTTAGTGCACTGACAGTTGGCTCCGTCGTCCCCTGTGGCTATCCCCGGGGGTCCTGGAGGGCCCTGGGTGGGATGACAGTCAATACAATTAGCCACAACTTAAGGGAGACAACTAAGGAACAAAACGTTAAACCTATCCAACTTAACGCTTATCTGACTAGTAAACTGATAACAGTTTTTTTAAAAATCGTGGTTAGTGTCTTAACAAACACTTGTTTTACTGATTATTTAAAGATTTGAATTAAAGTAAATAGATCTATAAGTGTGTGTAGGAAGGGGGGACAACTAGCAAGGCCAGACCGACACACAAGCTAAACAGAAAAAAAATCACAAAACTACACCAGGTATATTAATTGTTATCGTACATAAATCAGAGCAAGACATTTAAAATTAATTAGAAAAAATAATTAACTTGGAATTTCTCGTTATGCCATTCACATAGTTTCTTTATTAATTTTAATCATATTATGCAACGATAGAAGACGTAGAAATAATATTTGTATTCATGCTTTTAATACAAAACAGAGGTATAACTAATAGGCGATAAATAAACCTGTAATAAAATCAGTTTAATTAATTTCATTAAGATAAAAATAGATGAACAAATAAAGTTGAGAAAGATTTTTAAAATCTTGGTAAGATTCTGCAAAAACAAAGAAATGGATATTTGTCATGCATTAGTTTTAAAAGAAAAAAAATATTGCTGCTATTGGTAACCTGTAGAACTAAATAGAAAGGTAATTAGAAAATATGGAGTTAGTTTCACTTACCGAACAATCTTAGCATAGCAACGAAACAAAGAAAAGACGACAGTAAAATGCATTACATTAGTTAGAAAACAGTCGTGAGAGAAGAGTTTAAAAGTTATTCTAGCAGTTATTTTTTTTAAAATAAAATAAATATTGTCTATCACAAAACAGCTGATGTTGAGTGAGGTTAACGTTGAGGTAAACACAACCTCTACAGTTAATTAGTCTAACTAAAATTTGTCAAGATAGAAGACTAATGCAGTTAATGAATAAAGGAAAAAGACGGCATGGTATTTCAGAACAAAAAGCATTCACAGACTGATTTATTCAGAAAAAAAGGATTGTTTTATAGATGTGACCAATTTCGACCATGTGGACCATGATAATTTTTCGAGTCCTATTTACAACAAGATGTGAATTTGTAATTTTTAGCGATCCCCTAAATAAATTGAAAATTGTATTCGCTGATTATTTCTTCCATTAAAAAAGCATTTTTTTTCCTTAGACAATAGCTTCACATTTTAAAAACAAATCTTTATTTCAGTTCCTTCTATCAAAAGAGAAATCGCCCATAGTGTATTAAATTTATTGTAGAAACTTTGCGATCTTTTTGATAACTTCAAGATCGAAAAGTAGTTTTGTAATACAATTTTCGAGCCAGGAGCGGATTAGCTGACGTCATGCTATCAGAGTTGTGAAGATCAGAGGTGTATGTTGACGGTTTGGGATTAGCTGACGTCATGCTGTTGTGAAGATCAGAGGTGTATGTTGATGGTTTGGGATTAGCTGACGTAATGCTAGCAGAGTTATCAAGATCATAGATGTATGTTGATGGTTTGGGATTAGTCGACCAGTCATGCTGTTGTGAAGATCATGGATGTATGTTGACAGTTTGAGATTAATTGACCAGTCATGCTGTCAGTTCTGAGAATGAAAGGAAATGGAACAGTCCAACTCACCGCCGCCCCTGTGAAACCTATTGGACCCTACAGACATAGGATGGGTTAGTCCAGTCTCAAATAAATATTTGTAGTCGTAGGTCTGAGATTGTATTCAATCAATAGAAAACATATCTACAATGTGATTTGTGGCAGTAGAGTTTTTGTAAGGATTAAATGAGAGTCGATGGTGTATCTGTTATAAGTGAGTTGTTAAATATATATGTGTATAAATAGGCATATATATATATATATATATATATATATATATATATATGCGCCTGTGTGTGAAACAAACATTAATATTTAGATAAGTATACCTGTAGTTAAGTATCAGTTTGTAATTAATTACACAGGCTAACACGTGACACACAAACATAGCCATAAAACACACACACACGCACACACACGCACACACACACACGTGAGTACACACAAAGGTTGCAGACGAGACCGTCAACCTTGCACAGCGGACAAAACAGGCATAGATTTAGCTTTAAGCTAACAGGTCACAGTGACATTAACTTGCTCCAGTTTGGTTTGATCCAGTTAGAAGCAGCAAAAGTAGACAAAAAGCGATGCCATGATTAATGGTTAAGTCACAAAATGTGTTTTAAAAATATTTCGCAATCAAACTTTAGACTATTATTACTATTAGTCTAAAGATTTAGGTTTAGCCTAATTAAATTAAATACAACTTAGAAATATTTTCTTTTGTTATCCCTGTATTGATTTCTCGATTTGTTAAGTATTTGGATGTGAGAGTAATTAAACGTTAAAATTATTTGATGCAAAAATGTTTGGCAAATTTATGTACGAAAAAATATATTGAGTATGTTTGTATTCACTGCTGGACAAATATTATTGTGATTAATGTTTATTATATAAATTACTGTATAAAATTAGTTAAACTCAGGTAAAAAGTGACGTTTAGTCTCAGACTTACAGGCAGTCCTATAACACCTGGGTCGCCATGTTCGCCCTTTTGGCCCTAAAAGAATAAAAAAAAAAATGATCACAATTTTGAAAAAAAGTATTTATTATTAGAAAAATAACTATAAAAACGATTACAAATTTTTTTATCACTTGTTGATGACAATAAAAATATCAAGTAACACGTGACTTCTGTGTTGTCTACGTCAGTTTCATGTCATCGTCTTGAGATACTGACGTCACCATCTTACGTCAGATTTTATGACTTACCTGATCACCTTCTGGTCCCATAGGTCCTCGGTCACCCTGTAAGGTAAGACACGGTTCAATTACATTCAGAACAGGTAAATTGTGTCAAGTGTGACATTAGATTTAACTCTTGAATCAATCAAGGTACAGATATTTCGTGTGTGAGTTTTTCTAAAAGTTAAAGATGAGATGATTTAATTACCTTAATACCTGGAGGTCCTTGTAATCCCATAGGGCCCTAAGTAAAACATACAAAGTATATTCTAACAGGTAGAAGGTTGTAGTAAATCTTAAGGAGGAAAGGGCAGTAAGTGTGAATGGGTTTTTAAGGGGAGGTAACTCGGTCGGGATAATAGAAAATTCTCTATTTTATTAATACTGGCTGTTGTTTATGTTTTTACAGCAGGGAGTGACATATTTGTCTTGTAGCATGTGCTACATGCCCATTACAGCAAGTGGTGACACAGTTATGTTACACGATTATTTTTTAACAGTTTTTAAGGGGAACATGTGAAGCAAACCAAGAAGGAACCAAGAAGGAACCAAGAAGGAACCAAGAAGGAACTTACCATTGGACCGGGGGGTCCTGGAGGGCCAGGGAACTGAAATGAGAAAAATCACAAGTAAGTTTTCTTTTATTACACGTTCTAAAGAATTTTTCAGGTGGATCTATGAGTCAGACACGTCTAGGAGAAAAGAAATAGAAAGAACGGCAGCTGTAAGCTGATCTAGCCAACAGACAAGCAGACGACAGCAGCAAGACGAGGGTAGCAGACGACAGCAGCAAGACGAAACTAGGGTCAGCAGACGACCACTTTACTCACCATTTCGCCACTTCCTCCACCTTCTATAATGCCTGGCTCACCCTTATGAGAATAAAAGAAAATGATGAAACAAGGTGAGCATTCGTAATATGTAGGTAGGATAAACAAATAAAACGGATTAGTGCCAGGGTCTAAAGACAACTCAAAACCAAATCACATAACCAGTAACGACAACCCGCTACACAACCAGTAACGACAACCCATTACACAACCAGAAACGACAACCCATTACACAACCAGTAACGACAACCCATTACACAACCAGTAACGACAACCCATTACACAACCAGTAACGACAACCCATTACACAACCAGTAACGACAACCCATTACACCACCTGTAACGTCAACCCATTACACAACCAGTAACGACAACCCACTAAAAAACCAGTAACGACAACCCACCAGCAGACCACATAATCAATAATGACAACTCACTAACAGACCATACATTCAGTGAGATAAATTACTAACAGACCACATAACCAGTAACGATAACCCACCACATAACCAGTAACGACAACCCACTACATAGCCAGTAACGACAACCCATGAAATAACCAGTAACGACAACCCATTACATAACCACTAACGACAACCTATTACATAACCAGTAACGACAACCTATTACATAACCAGTAACGACAACCCATTACATAACCAGTAACGACAACTCATGACATAACCAGTAACGACAACCCATTACATAACCAGTAACGACAACCCATTACATAACCAGTAACGACAACCCATTACATAACCAGTAACGACAACCCATTACATAACCAGTAACGACAACCCATTACATAACCAGTAACGACAACCCATTACATAACCAGTAGCGACAACCTACTACAGAATCAGTAACGACAACTCATGACATAGCCAGTAACGACAACCCACCATATACCCAGTAACGACAACTCATGACATACCCAGTAACGACAACCCACTACATAGCCAGTAACGACAACCCACGACATAACCAGTAACGACAACTCACTACATAGCCAGTAACGACAACCCACTACATAACCAGTAACGACAACCCACGACATAACCAGTAACGACAACTCACTACATAGCCAGTAACGACAACCCACTACATAACCAGTAACGACAACCCACGACATAACCAGTAACGACAACTCACGACATAAACAGTAACGACAACCCATTACATACCCAGTAACGACAACTCATGATATAACCAGTAACGACAACTTACCGGTGGGCCGGGTAATCCCGGGGGTCCGATCATGCCGGGAACCCCGGGGTGTCCAAACTCGCCAGATTCACCTTTACGCCCTGGCTCGCCCTGTAATCAAATAAACATGGTCAGGTAATTACATCATTACACGTGACCTAAATTAACAGACGGAAAGTTTAAACATTAAACCGATATTCACACAGATTGGGGCCAGCTTACCGCTAGCTTATAGCATGGCCCAGAGATGGCCGTGGGCCACTTACCGGAGGGCCATTGTGGCCAGGCGTGCCATCTATGCCGTTTCTACCTGGAACACCTGGGGTCCCCTTGGGGCCCTGGAATATCATAAGTGGTTAGGTTAGAGTTCTTTTAAGATTTTGTACAAATAGTGTTGTGTATGTGTTTAATTCATGGGTTTGTTTGTGTGTGGTCATTTACATGGTTCAGATTCATGCTCCTTGGGTAAATTGACTCTATTATACACTATTTTATTGTATATATATATATATATATATATATATATATATATATATATATATACTTAATTTATAGTTAACTACTTAACTTATAATTAGCTAAGCATTTTGTTTTCAAGAAAAAAAAATTAAAAAAATAATTCTTTCAAATGCACAAAATTATTTTTCATAATTGAAAAAAAAAACCATGCTAAAATGTAAAATTGTATAATCAAGTAGTGTTTTAATGTAATCAAGATCAACAGTAGAGTAGCATCAACCTACCTGCTGTCCTGGTAAGCCTAATCCGCCCTTTGACCCCTTGGGCCCCGTTGACCCAGGCTCACCAGGGGGGCCTTGAGGCCCTGGGAACCCTGTATATCCAGTTTTGCCGCGCTCCCCACGCCGGCCCTGTTTAGGAAGGTTCGGGTAATATGTCTGTTTGTTTGTTTGTCTGTCTGCTACATCACGCCTGTACAGGCTTGTGAATGTTAGTTACTGCTGACTATCCAACGTTTAACTAAGCTATCAATAGCAGAGTTAGTTACTGCTGACTATCTAGAGTTCAACTAACCTATCAATAGCAGAGTTAGTTACTTCTGGCTATCCAGAGTTTTAACTAAGCTATCAATAGCAGTTACTGCTGACTATCCAGCGTTAAACTAAGCTATCAATATCAGCCTGTATGTCTAGTTAACCCACTGATTAGAAGTTTAAATTTCGGGGCTTTAATTAAAATAAGCCTAGATTAAATCATGTTAATCAGCATACATCGTCAGCAACGTCTACAAAAAATGAGTTAAGTCTAATATTTCAAGGTGCATCCAAATGCCAGATATATTATTGTAAGTAGAAATAAAATTTGAAAAATGCAGACTTGTCAGACTTACACTAAAACTTTCTTTTAATAGTATTTAAGATTTGAAATGGTAGGAGAAATATAACATTATGAGTGACGTAATTAAATTTAAATTAAATTCAGTTTTAATTTAAGAAAGGGAACAAAAAAAAAACCACTTCTCCGAGATTGATTCTATCAGTTAAAAGCTGCTCAACAGTTTCCTGATTTTTTATTTACCCTGAGGCCCCTCCTGCCCCTGTCCCCCTTCTCACCAGAGGGTCCAGGGGGCCCCATGGGGCCGGTCCTTCCGGGCTTGCCCTGTGACCCCTGCGGACACAAAGGCAATATGGTGTGCGCATGCTCACAGAGAAGACACGAAATTAGGTCACAAGGAGGAGCAAGAAAGAAAAAAACGAGACTCCACAAGACGTCACAAACAGCTGACGATATGAAATACAGCTAAAGTGTCACATAATTATGTAAATATATACGTACATATATAATTAACTGGGTCAGTTTTCGTTATACATTTAAAAATGCATCTTAAACTGTCTGTAAAGCTAGTTTATTAATTGTGTTTAATTAGCTGTTAATGAAGCGGGTTAATGATAGCTCATTAGGAGATTGGGAACGATTGTTTTAGTCAAAAAGCAAAGTCGAATAGAGGTTATGTATGTAGACTGAATTTTACGCTGGTAGCTTGGTTGTCGCTACCCAAACATCTGTTAGACATTGTGCACTTCGTCGTGTTGTCTGTGTGCTATTGTGTGGAGGTTTGTGAAGTAGGGATGTTAATTACCAAAGATGCATCTAGGTTAGAGAGCAAAATGCAAAATGTATGCAGAAATGGTTTTCCAAGCTTTTAAACGCTAGCTCTCAAGGGTTAAGCACTGCTTCTATCTTCAAATAGTGGTTCTCAAAATGTAGCCCTATTGCGGTGCTGTTCATTTACGTTTACACGTATAGTCAGCTCGAAAGATTTGAGTACAATACACTGTTGAAGGTACGCCGGGATCAGAGCCGGCGTTAGGAATACGCGGGGCCTAGGGCCAACCATCCGCGCGGGGTCTTTCCATTATATATATATATATATATATATATATATATATATATATATATATATATATATATATATATATATATATATATATATATATGTGTGTGTGTGTAAAAAGGCCTATATAAAGTGATGTACCCACATAATAACACAAATGTTTTGGAGTTTATAAGCTAATGTCAAACTTTCCACTATAATAACAGATTTTTATCTCTTCCATGTATTAACCCAATGTTCGTAGGGTTTTTTTCCCTTTGCTAAGATATTAAATCACTTTTAACAGTTATGTAATTCATACCAGATCACTTAAGAAAATTTAATCACGTGCCGAATAATTAGGAAAATAAAGTTTACAATACAGCGAACTCGGCCTGATGTATCAAAACAGTATAGACTTCAAAATTTGTTTAGAATTCATACAATATTTTAAAACCAAAATCATTATTGTCTTAATTATTGAAGGTGTGAATCCTTAAGGTGACACAACATAACAACAGTTTTAACTTTCTTCCAAAAAATAATAATAAATCACTCTGTTTAATGCCGCCTGATATAGATCCTAAGGCCCCCCCCCCCATCCTCGTCGCCCTCCTCCCACCCCTCTGCACGCAACTGAATGTTAATTTTGTTATACCAAGACAAGTAGGCCTACATATAGAGTAGCCCCCCCCCCCCCGAAAACGAAATGAAATTTATATAATTTATGGAGAAAATATATACTTTTAACAGTGCCCGCACCCCCCCCCCCCCCAAAAAAAAAATTTCAAGTGCCCCTCCCCCCCCCCTAAGAAAAAAGTCTGGAAGAAACACTGTACATATACGACATTATACGACATCTACAACAAGAAAGTCAGGACTAGAGTTCATCAGGTCACTAACTGTCTACTATAGACATCCCGTCTGCTCACTAAAAGGACGTCTTCATCGGTCCGCATACAATAGGGTATCTCTTTACGTCGTGGGCTAATTCTCGACCGCTATCTCCAGTCAGCTCAGGTCAAATGCCAGGCGACCGTACCCTACACAAAGGGTAGGTGTGACACTATTTTTGTATCGAATTACGGCCTGTCCCAGTTCAGGTGGGACTCACCAACATCAACCGTGGCCTCAGTTATAACAATCAACAACGTCGGCATTCCACCATTTAGTTTTTCCCAATTGAATTCAGCAACCATTTTTTTTAAGTTTACGAACTAATTCAGATAACAATGACATTGCTGAAGCGCGGGGCCCCGTTCGCCACCCCCTAACGCCGGCTCTGGCCGGGATTAAAGTTAGGGCGTAACTACGATCTGATTTAACTTTGTTTAGTTTGATGCGGTGATACGGCTTTTATTTTTAAACAACGGTTCTCAAAGTATATTGGCTGCTTCAATTATAAAAAAAAATTGGCTCTACATCAACTGATTCTGTTTTTAGTATTGAATAGTTTAACCCCCAAGGGACACAAACATGTAAAAAAAGAATTTAAAAGAACGATTCAACATTATTCTAGTTTGGTAATTTGCTGGGGTCTGTTTTACTTGTTAAAAAAGCAATTGCGATGAGTGCTAGTTTTTTTTATTAAAATTGAAATCGACATCATGTTTCATCCTGTTATATTCCAGCCGCGGCATGTACAAACGTTGAGAAAATGCAGTTCAAAGTTTGATAGAATATTATCGCTACATAGAATGACACCAAAAAAAAAGTAGAACAGAATTCTTCCATGTGGTACCATCAAGACTGCGCTGAAATAAAATGTCACAACTTTTTTTCAGTTCAACACAACAGTATTATACAGGGTAATTAAATTTGAAATCATTTTAAACATTTGTTGTAGAAAACTTTAAATTGGCATAACGGGAAATTCCAAAATTGAACATCAAACACCTAGACAACACCAAAAGCTGGAGACATAGATACACCGTTGGTAGCTAGAAAACATCGATACAACGTATGGTAGCTAGAAAATATCGATACAACGTATGGTAGCTATACAACAAATTGGTATACACCATTGGTAGCTAGACAACGAAGATATAACAAGCATTCATCTGACTGCAGCAAAAGCATTGAACTTGATCGAGCGGAGCCTTCTGAGGCAAAGTAGACGCGATTTATTTAGCCAAATATATAGGCAGATTCGCGAATTTAACTAAAAAATTAAAAAAAAGGAAAAAAATCTAACAAAAATAGATGGAATGGAAAAAGACATCTATCTTAGGATAACGACGATGAGACACCTATCCTGGGATAACGACGACGAGACACCTATCCTGTACCTCTAGTGACGCACAATCCCACCGGTCCGCCGTTCGTTCAGAGCGGGAAGATTTCTTCTTTTTTATCGAGCTTATGTCCTTGACCTCTAAACGACACGTGCGCCGGCGATGCTTTAGAAAAAATGTCAACAATTGTTTATTTTTAACTTATTGTTTAGAAAAATTGAGTTTTGTTCATTCCAATTCAAAGTTATAAATCGCAGTACTACTCAACATCATCGGTACCCAGTCAACAGAAAGCTAGGTCTGAACTTAGATTACCTTAACAAACCTGAGAGCTAAAAGAAACTATCTTAACAAACTTGGGCCCTAACTGGAAGCACCTTATCAAAGGTGAGCCCTAATTGGAAGCACCTTATCAAAGGTGAGCCCTACAATCCTTTTGCTGCAGTCATCCTAATGTTTGTTTACAAATTTTCAAACGCGTGGATACATCATTTAACATACACTTGCTACAGTCTACAAGATCTAAGTTAGATTTTCCAAAAGTCAAATTCAAATGGTGCGTTATATGGATGACTGCAGCAAAGTATGTTAAATGGTGGCCTAAGTCACTTCAGAACACGCATTTGGCTGGGAAAAAAGTGTCTGAAGTCACTTTATGACTTTAGGATGTGTAGCTTAAGTCACGTATTGAATGTAACAAAACAACAATATAAAGCGATATCAAACAATATGGCGCTGTGGCACTGGTACGACAGGTGCACGTGAGACAGGTGGGCCAGGTGTGATACCAGGTGCGACACCAGGTGCGACACCAGGTGCAACACACCAGGTGACTGTTCACCTTCTTCCCTCGTTTCCCAGGTGGGCCCTGGACGCCGGGTTCACCTTTAGGGCCCTGAATGTACCCGGCCGGAAAATTGTCCGGCATTTGGTAGCCCAGGCCGCGCTCACCCCTGCCGCCCTTTGACCCCTTATCGCCCTGGAAAATATGGTAGAGGTCAGAGTTTGGTAGAGGTCAGTTTGGTAGAGGTCAGAGATAGTTTGTTGGTCAGAGGGGTAGAGGACAATTTGGTAGAGGTCATAGGACAATTTGGTAGAGGTCAGAGGAGTAGAGAGGTCAGTTTGGTGAAGGTCAGAGAAGTAGAGAGGTCAGTTTGGTGAAGGTCAGAGGAGTAGAGAGGTCAGTTTGGTAGAGATCAGAGGAGTAGAGAGGTCAGTTTGGTGAAGGTTAGAGAAGTAGAGAGGTCAGTTTGGTAGAGATCAGAGGAGTAGAGAGGTCAGTTTGGTAGAGATCAGAGAAGTAGAGAGGTCAGTTTGGTGAAGGTTAGAAAAGTAGAGGTCAGTTTGCGAAGCCCTGTAGACAGGTAACAGCTGTCCTGACATGCAGGCTCTGCGAGCACGGTGAAGTATGACGTCACATCTACGCTGATTCTAGAAAAATAAATCTTGGCAGGAATTTTCCACCGGTTTGTATATGTGTGAAGTATAGACAAGGAATGTGTAAGACATACAATACAATACAAATAGTTCCGCATGAGTAGGAATAATATCAATTTACCTGAAATGAAACGATCGATGTATTAAACTATTGAATTCAAAATTAAGAGACATTAGTGAACAATGAATATAAACATCGTAATTTCCAATTTTGATATAATTTTCTCATAATTCAATTAAAATATTTTGCGCTCCAATTTTCGTAATTTCGCGTAACCTTTAGAAGAGCTGACCTCTATTGTGGTTTCACATGAACGCTATTAATTCACTTGATTTTAAACGACCTGAAACTAGCCATTTATGCTTTCAGCCTTATATTTCAGCCACTACTGCCTATAGAGTCAGAGTTAGATCTATATCATGCATGTTTCCAAGATGTCACCTACATGCAGAGTTTCTTCCAGGTATCTCTCTTCGCCCCCCCCCCCCCCGAAATTTTTTTACCGCCCCCCCCCCCCCCGAACGAAATGAAATTTATATAATTTATATAGAAAATATATACTTTTAACAGTGTCCACCCCTCCCCCCCCCCGAAGAAAGTCTACCGCCCCCCCCCCCCCGAAAATTTCAAGTGCCCCCCCGGAGAAAAAAGTCTGGAAGAAACACTGCCTACATGCACAAGATTGCACATAATGCTTAAAGATTATTTAAGACATTCAGCGGAATTAGTCTTTTCTTAAACAATAATCTCATTCATTAAAAGATGATTTACAAGAAAATAAATTATTCATTTAGTTTAGGTCTTTAGTTTTGATAAAACAAAGAAAGTTAGGAAACAATTTTCTAGTTTTCATTTGGACATTTTACATTTTGAATCCAAGGGAGATAACAAAACAAAACGAAAAATTAAAATTAATGCGATTGTCTCTCTTGGCAGCTCACTATGGTTTGATTAGCCCACAGAATACTGAGAGGCCTCTGGGACCGTTTACAGCCTGTCCTTTAGGCCGGGCAATCCTAAATGCCCTTAGGGGGCCCTGTTGGCATATGCTGGTATGTGTAGGAGAAGCCTACCTGCCCACCACCCCCTACACGTATTAAATACAAGTCTAATGCTGGTATGTGTAGGTTGTATCTAGTTTCCCCATCCCATCCCCCCCCCCCTCCCAACATATCAATTCATGTTTTAACCAGGTATGTATCGTTGGTATCTGACTGCTTTATGTAGGATTTTAAAACTATTTTACGCCACATTTCGTGGTTTATTTATTTCATTTTGCTAATGCCCTACTTAAATACATAAGCTACAAATGTCGGAATGAATACAAAACTAATTGAGAACCACTCAAATAATTAATTTAAATTTAGAGCGAAGCCTAGTTTCACCTCCATTTAACAAGCTAAATGTTAATTAATTAAAGCAATAAGCTAAGAGCGATAGGTGTTTGTTGATTAGTAAGCGCCTTCCACCAGCATTAGGTAAGTTAGCAACAGCTGATCTTTACTCCATTTTAATCGATGTATATATATATATATATATATATATATATATATATATATATATATATATATATATATATATATATATATATATATATATATATATATATATATATATATATATATATATATATATATATATATATATATATATATATATATATATAGTATTTACACACTTGTATGTGGAGAAATAAGAGGCAGGTAAGATAGAGTGAAAGTAGAAAAAATATAATGGTAAAAATGTAAGAGACAGATGTCTGATAATGCAAGGAACTGATAGTGAGGTTGAATGAAATAGTACAATGCATAAATGCGAGCAGATAAATATTATATTTGAATTAAAATTAAACAATGATATTATACATAAATATACATGGTGGTGATGTACTATGGTGACTGTTTATAAAATATTTCTTAGCTTATAATTAGCATGCAAATTTAGAAATAAGACAAAATGGCTGCTTAAAGTCTTAATAAGACAAAATGATTACTTGAAGGCTTAACACCTAAGTAAGAAGTAAGACAACAAGATTACTTAAGTCTTAAGACACAAGTGAAACACTTACTGGTGGCCCCGGATCTCCATCTTTACCAGGGGGGCCCTTTGGTCCTGGGGGTCCCGGTGGGCCCTGAAATACAACCAGAAACTACAATAATGTCAAGCCTCTGATGTTAGCCGTTTAATTCTATGTTGACAGGGGAATCACCGCTGACATGATGGCTAATACGAGGCCAAATTAATTAATTAAAATAAGAATCTACTAATTATCTAACACGTGACTGACCTGTTCACCTCGCGGCCCGACCATGCCGTCAAAACCGTTGAGTCCAGGTGAGCCAAGGTCACCCTTGTCACCTTTAGGGCCCGAGGGTCCCGGCTCACCTCTGTCACCCTGGGGAATATGGAGGCAAACATCAAAACGTGTGGGAGTGTGGAAACATCAACACGTGTGGGCGTGTGGAAACATCACAACGTGTGGGCGTGTGGAAACATCACAAAGTGTGGGTGTGTGGAAACATCACAAAGTGTGGGTGTGTGGAAACATCACAAAGTGTGGGTGTGTGGAAACATCACAAAGTGTGGGTGTGTGGGAACATCACAACGTGTGGGTGTGTGAAAACATCAAAACGTGTGGGTGTGTGGGAACATCAAAAAGTGTGGGCGTGTGGGTAGACCTACATATGTATTCATAGTTATCATGGTGTAGGCTACGTGTTTGATGACGTGCATATATGATAAAATATTAAGTATGTTGTGAACATATATTGCTTTGCAGCGTGTGTTTGTGTACGTGTGTTTGTGTACTAGAATTATTATGTACAGATAGGATTGCGCGTGATCGTGTACATGTATGATTGTGCGAACGTGAGATTGTGTTTTTTTGTATGCGACATTTATATGTTAACATTATTTGCAAAATTTGTATGATAAAACCCCAACACACAAACATTTGAAAATAAACTTTTAAAAACATCTTTCGTTTGTTAAAAAAAGTTTCAAAGGATGCTCAAAGCCTGATAATCCTCTAAGACTTTACCCAGGTGTTAGGGATATTCTGTTCTATTAAAATAATTAAATACAGCTAATTAAACTATGAAAGGTTAATTACACAGGCATGCGGGCTTTGATGTGGGCTAAAAAATTGACAGGGGTTAATGAAAGAAATTGCCATGCCGCAGTCATACATTCAGCTTTTTTTTTTAAACATTGCAATTCGCCCATGGGTCGGGGGTTAAATAATTAGTTATTTTCCAAACTTCAAGAAAAAAAAAGAAAAAAAAGAACGTTAAGAAAAATAAATAATAAATCATGATATTACTTTTAAAACGGAACAAAATAACTTATCCAAGAGGGGTAATGCTAACATGTGAGAAAGTTTGAAACTCCAGGCCCAGTTGATTCCCCTTACAAAAATAAACTTTATTAGCTAAATTAAGGGAAAGAACTGAGCAGAAAAGCGTTTCACCCACGTTCAGCAACCCACATGCTCTTGTTAACTCCCCTTTACGTTTTTACTACCAGCGGTATAGCTTTTAGTAATTAATGGTGATTTCTATTAGACTAATTAACACGGTGATAATTAGCTTGTTTAATCCATTCTTAGATTTTATCCTTTTTCCTTGAGTTTTTATTTAAATTTTAGAGAATTATCAATGTTATTTTACCTCTTCTTTTAATTATTTGTGCTCTCTCTAAAGAATGCTACCGTTTACACAACATTTGAGCTAGATAAAGTTTCATCACGTAAAGATAGGAATTGGCCTCAATAAATTTTATTGCCTAACTTCAACATGGTTAGTTTTAGTGTATATTATTTAGCAAATTCTACGCAATCCAATTTTTTTTTTTTTACATAAATCAACAGAATTTATTTTAAGCTGAACATAACTTACAATAAATTCGATACCTACATTTTTAACTCAACTTATTATTTTTTAAATCTCAACTAAGCAATATACTCATTACAGAAACAAATGTTAAAGTCTTTGGTAGCATTACTTGAGTTCAATAACTTTTAGCTCCCATGAAACAAAAGTTTAAAGCTATAGATTGTATTACTTTGAGTTCAATTACTTTAGCTCCCTAAAAACAAAAAAAAAGTTACAAAGTTGAAAGCTATAGATTGTATTACTTTGAGTTCAATAATTTTAAGCTCCCATTAAACCAAAATGTTGTTATAGTTACAGCTTAACGTTATAGTTTACATTACTTTGAGTTCATTAATTTTGAGCTCTCATTAAACCAAAATGTTGTTATAGTTACAGCTTAAAGTTATAGTTTACATTACTTTGAGTTCAATAATTTTGAGCTCCCATTAAACCAAAATGTTGTTATAGTTACAGCTTAAAGTTATAGTTTACATTACTTTGAGTTCAATAATTTTGAGCTCCCATTGAACAAAAAAAGTTACAAAGTTTAAGGCTATAGGTTGTATTACTTTGAGTTCAATCATTTTAGCTCCCATGAAACAAAAGAGTTAAAAAGTTTATATATTGTATTACATTGAGTTCAATCATTTTAGCTCCCATGAAACAAAAGAGTTAAAAAGTTTATATATTGTATTACATTGAGTTCAATAATTTTAGCTCCCATGAAACAAAAGAGTTAAAAAGTTTATATATTGTATTACATTGAGTTCAATAATTTTAAGCTCCCATTAAACAAAAATGTTGTTATAGTTACAGCTTAACGTTATAGTTTACATTACTTTGAGTTCAATAATTTTAGCTCCCACTAAACCAAAATGTTGTTATAGTTACAGCTTAACGTTATAGTTTACATTACTTTGAGTTCAATAATTTTGAGCTCCCATTAAACAAAAATGTTGTTATAGTTAGAGCTTAACGTTATAGTTTACATTACTTTGAGTTCAATAATTTTAGCTCCCATGAAACAAAAGAGTTACAAAGTTAAAAGTTGTATTACTTTGAGTTCAATAATTTTAGCTCCCATGAAACAAAAGAGTTAAAAAGTTTATATATTGTATTACTTTGAGTTCAATAATTTTAAGCTCCCACTCTGCAGCATCAAGTCCCGCTGGAAGGCCGGGTGGCCCACGTTCACCCTGTTGATCAAGCAGAAAGTAGAATCATGCAAGAGTTAGTTCTCTTAGTAAGTCGTGCAGGAGTTATTTTTCTTGTTTAAAATAGACAAATTAGAAGCAAATAAAGTTTAGAAATTGTGTTAGTAAACAGATGTCATTTCCGTTAGCGGGTACCCGATCATTGGGGTTACCATGCAAGTTAATCATCACAACTGAGCGAGAGTTCTGTTGTAAATATCCTACAGGACTTTGGTCAAGAAATTTTCATAAGTTGTAAATATCCTACAGCACTATGGTCAAGAAATTTTCATAAGTTTTAAATATCCTACAGGACTTTGGTCAAGAAATTTTAATTTGGGTAAGTTCTTATTTCTTGCAAAAGTTGAAGGTCTCTTATGTAAGCTAGCTCAAATTTCTAGCACCTTTTTATTGTCTTGTAATGATAGCCTGTTAAATTATTCACGTGCATTGGGTAGAGGGGGGGGGGTAGAGTCTGTGATCAATAATGGATGAGTGTGAGATCGATAAACCGGGCGTCACGTGGTTAGGGGAGTATGAGAAATTGTGACTCATAGACAGGTAGACGGACGCGTGACTCAGGCGTCAGGTTATTATTGTCAGATAATTATAGCAGCATCGTTCATATCAGGTAACTGGCGACGACAGTTTGACTTGGTTGTCATAGTTACAACATCAAGTTACGGCAACAGTTTGACTTAAGTAACAAGTAACGGCAACAGTGTGACTTTAAGTAACGGCAACAGTGTGACTTTAAGTAACGGACGACAGTTGACTTTGTGACCATATTTAAGGCTAAGAAACATCATGTTGTGGTCGTGGACTGTTTTAAGTATAATGTTTGATATTAGAATGCAGGTTCTAATTATTAGGGTAAATCTTAAGATAGTGTCTCCTACATCTTTATGTGATGTTTTCTACATCTTAAGATAGTGTCTCCTACATCTTTATGTGATGTTTTCTACATCTTTAGATAGTGTCTCCTACATCTTTATGTGATGTTTTCTACATCTTTAGATAGAGTTTCCAACCAGTTGTGTAATAAGTCTCTAAAAACATTTAACTAAAGAACAATACGAACGATGGTTACCAAAGCGGGTTTTGTTGAAACTTATTCTAAAAATTAAATATTTTCCAATTATACCAGTGTTAATTCCATGCGTTCATTAGTAGCACAGACCTAGCAGTATAAAATTTCAAAATATTCATGCGGTTTTCTAACCTTAAGATAAACAACCTTCGTCCCGTTTAACTCCTAGACAAAAAAAATATTAAAAATTGTTTAGGATTATTTTGATTTATCTCGATAACTTTACATTATTTCAAAATGTACGATAGTAAGCGAAGTTACGACAGATTAATCCTTAAAGACAAACGGTAATATATGTAACAGTGAAATATATAATCATTATCAATATCGTTTCTAAAATTGCGTTTACACAGTCATTATTTTCAATCTCATAGATGTTTTTTTTTTAAAAATACAATGAAATTTTAAAACAAAACAGAAAATAACAAGTATTAACTTTAAATTGTATATCCGTTAATTTAATTAAAATAAATTAGAAAAAAATGTCATAAATTTTATGATATGCACCCTGTTACTAAATGACTGATATGTCATAAAGTCGAGAGGACGGGGGTGAAGATGTGTGTCCCTAGTCACCCCCCGGGGACAGGTAGTTGAGGAGGGGACAGGTAGTGTAGGAAGCGCGAGATTACGATAGGCTGAGTGGGCAGTTGACAGGCTGAGAGGGCAGATGAAGTGGACAGGTGATAAGCTAGAGAGGCAGAGAAAAAAATGGCAGCGAGATAAGATATCAAGTGAGGTGAGAGTTGATAAACCGTCAAGTGAGAATTGAGGGGAGAGTTGATGTTCTCTATCTACGATAGCGAGTGGTGACAGTATTATAACACACAGAAAGGTCATGTAAACCAGAATTGTCATACACACACACACACACACATATATATATATATATATATATATATATATATATATATATATATATATATATATATATATATATATATATATGAGTGTGTGTGTGTGAGTGTGTGTATGTATGTATGTTGTGTATTTATATATACAATGAGAAAGCTAAATGTTTACATGAAAAGAAATGTAATCAGTGAGCAGAACTATTTAATTAATTAAATAAACGTAATTATGAGTTTGGCCTACCTTTTGTCCCCTGGCATCATATCCTGGCAACCCGGCCTCTCCTTTATCTCCTTGTAACCCTTTATCTCCCTGCCAAATAAGCAATTTCAAGTCAAACACGAATACATAAACATTACGATGATTGTTAGTTGTCGAATTGTATTTAAATATAGGAGCTGAGCGGCAAACAGTAATACATTTGCTGAAAGATCGATAACTTCAAGTGATTTGTTCGTCACTTGTCTACATCTAATATTCTAGAACAATGCACTTCTACCTTTTCCAAAAATAAATTTACCGTTTAAAAATTGTACACAACTTTACCTTTAGACCCTTGTCTCCTTTTGGACCCTGAGTGAGAAAAGTAATAAGAAAAAATTGAACAATTGTTGAACAAACGTGATATGAGTGAGGTGAATTAAAAGACAACTCGAACTAAGACGATATGATCTTTATTATTTTAAAGTTGTATGTAACTAATCTACTAATTGGAATTAATTAGTCAGCCAGCAATTAGACGATACGCTAATTGACTCACCACATCGCCAGGCTTGCCCTGTGGTCCCATGGCACCCTGTAGATGATAGGCAGCAGCAAATTCAAGGTCAACATTAAGATTAACATACAAGTCAATATAAGGGTCAACACAAAGGTCAATACAGAGTCAATATCAAGGCCAATTACAAGGTGAATATTAAGGTCATTGTCAAGGTCAATAGCATTATCCAAATTAAAATCATGAATTAATACAGTGTGTGTGTATATATATATATATATATATATATATATATATATATATATATATATATATATATATATATATATATATATATATATATATATATATATATATATATCGAAAGATCTAAAATTTAATAAATAAATTACTTAAAATTCTCAAAATAGTACTTATAAAATAGTAAAATCGAGCCATGCTTTATTAAAATAATAATAAAAAGTTAAAAAATAAAATTTTACCATAATACAAGAAAAGTTAGAAAATTGTTAAACTAAAAATCTTTGTCATGAGCAGTGTTCATCAAGCAGTCCAAAAACAAATAAAAAAATATATTGTCATATGAAAAATTGTATTTTAAAATTTAAACAAAATAACAAATAATAATCATTAAAAAAGTTTTAAAAAACCCACGTTTTCTGATTGAACTAAAAAGTAGAAAATAAATACTATACATCACAATAATGCAAGCGATCACTCTACTATAAGCGATGAAAAACGTGGGGCGCCGAAGTAAAAGTTATATTACTATTGATTAGATAATACTATTGACTTTTATTAGGGAGCTTGTAGAGAGTCAACAGTATTAGAAACTGTAAGAAAATCACGGCGCCCCACGTTTTTCATCGCTTATAGTAGAGTGATCGCTTGCATTATTGTGATGTATAGTATTTATTTTCTACTTTTTAGTTCAATCAGAAAACGTGGGTTTTTTAAAGCTTTTTTAATGATTATTATTTTCTACTTTTTAGTCTTTGTCTGTTTGTTTGCATTGAAATCTTGCTATCGATTTTATCTTTTCACTTTTTTTTTGGGTAAACGAAGACAACTCGTAAAAAGACAACTCGTAAAATACGAGAGACCCTTTCTTCTTCGGTCTCAATCGCAAGTGAATGATTGTCAGAGGTTAGTTGATAGCGGTTAGGACGAGGGCTGGTTACTGACTAGAACACATAGATTTGAACCCGTGTCGAGTGGGATAGCAATCGTGTGCCCAACCACTCGACCATATCGTCTCCCCCAAACTGGCCACCAGTGGTAATAGTTACCTCCTGTAAGTTTAAAGTCGGTTCAAACTAAATTATCTGCCCCTAAGCCTGTCGCGACGTGGGATCGTTTCGCGTCACTGCGCGCGGCAAGAGAGAGGCGAGCTACGCGTCGCTCGTTTTTTTTCTAATGGCTCGCAGAGGAGAATTATATATATAGATTATATAGCGGTCTAAAATGCTCAATAAAATGTTTCCATTGATCAATTTAGTAATAATAACAATTGAATATTCTATGGTCATCCAAAAGAAAGCTTCCCTGAAAATTTCAGCGCGCTAGCTAACTGGGAAGTGCCAGAAATTTCGATCGCAAGATTTGATTGGAAAGACAAACAGAGAAAGCAAGTTAAAGAAAACGTGGGAAAAATGGAAGCAAATTTTCGGAAGATGAAATAAAAGACTGCAAAGATCTTTATGAGAAAAATTTTTTAAAAAGTTTTTAATTTTAATTGAGAGAAATGTAAATAAGAGAACATGTCACATGGGATTATCACCGGATATCCTGGAAACCCAACACTGCCCTGAAATGATATGTTAAGATCTTTGCTTGCAAGTTCAAGGTCATGGGTTGCCATAAATCAAATTTAAGATGGTGTGTTGCCATAAATCATGTTCAAGATGGTGTGCTACCATATACCAATTCGCGTCGGATTAGATTTAACTATAACCCGTGATGATTTCAACATTGTATGATGGTGTCCGACGGGTGGGGGGGAGGCAATAAAGTACCGCTAACACTAACATACCACTACAGTTAGTGGGGGGATAGGGTGAGTCTCAACTGAGCGGCTTCACTGCACAATCAGTTATATAATAAGAACACGAGAGCAATCGTTGAATACAAGGATTTAATCTAGCAGGTAACAACAGTATATAGTTGACACCTTCCCTTGGTATTTAATGGGTTAACTTCATTCAAGTAATAACGGTAGGCCCACTTAAAGTATTCTATAAGTATCCGAGCTACGTACACTTCAGGCAAGTATTAAATCTACATCTATCGTCGAGATAAAAAAAAGTTAATTAGGATGTAAAAAAATGTAAATATAAATCCCCGCGCACAAGACAGTAAAAAATATTCCTAACTGTAATAAAATCTCACTTTATTAATTAAAATAATTACGAATGTAAAATAATAAACAATAACCACAACACAAATGTTATTAACGACAAAGTCAGTTTTTATTTACCGGAAAACCATTTTCTCCTTTCGGCCCCTGAAAAATAAATAAAAGGTGTTAACTCTGTGGTGCTTAACTAAACACTTAAAACATTATTTATTAACCCCTTCATAACCAATTAAACACATAAACATCATTAATTTTTTGATTACCAGCTTTGAATTCTGAATAATCTTTAAAATATATTGAACAGATAAAGTTAATATTTTGCTGGTCTAGAAATAGTCAATATCCTATGTTTTACTGGTTTTAAAAAAAGTCCACCATATGTTACATAAGACATCCATACTTACCAAAGGTCCCATGTCTCCTTTGTTACCTTTCTCACCTGGTGTTCCTGGGATACCTGAGGAATAAAATCATTACATATAAGGTAATACAGACTGAATAGATACATGTGCTTACATGTAAGGTAATACAGACTGAATAGATACATGTGCTTACATACAAGGTAATACAGACTGAATAGATACATGTGCTTACATATAAGGTAATACAGACTGAATAGATACATGTGCTTACATATAAGGTAATACAGACTGAATAGATACATGTGCTTACATATAAGGTAATACAGACTGACTAGATACATGTGATTACATATAAGGTAATACAGACTGAATAGATACATGTGCTTACATATAAGGTAATACAGACTGAATAGATACATGTGGTAACATATAAGGTAATACAGACTGAATAGATACATGTATTTGTATGTTCTTACATATCTTACTCTAAGTTTTATTCTAGTTGCATATGGGGTGTTGTGTAGAAACATTAACATCTGGTGCTTTATAGGATGAAGTTATCAAGTATGCTAATCTATATGTCTAATGTTTGCTCGCAGCTAAAAAAATTCTGCTGGAAGTGGGTCATTCTTCAGAAAGTGGGTCATTACTGAACAACTCAAACATTCCAGGTAAAACATTTTAAAACCCAGCCCCCTAAAAAAATCTCGGAGCAGATAACTCTTGTTGTTTTAAGGGGGCACTTTGCTAAAATTATGAGTTAATTAAAAAAACAAATTAACTAATTAGAGCAACGGTAAACACAACGTGAGCCTGTAGAGGATATTTGTCTTCGTGTCGTGTTGCTGCTTGCTTTTTCTCGTGAAATCTCGTGTCTTCTCGCCATTTCTCTCGTCATACGTCTCGTCAATTCTCGTTTGTGTCTACACTGATTTGTGTACAAGTAAGTTTAGTTATTTTTAGTTTTAATACGCTGATTATTTTGATAGAACGAACATCTTTACTAAGAGTACAATCGTAGACGGGTAACACGTGATGCTCTAGCCAATAGACCAATCGTTGATGGTTGATACTTGACAACGCCAATCTAATACAACTATTGTGCTAGCTGTACAACACAGCAACACTTAAGTACAACGATCAGAATATGTTTTAGGACTTGACTGGACACAGTGGGTTAGGACTTGACTAGGATTATACAGGGGTCGTGAATAGATTGGACAAATAGAGGGGTCATAATGAGAATGGACGTACACAGAAGGGTTGTGATTATAGTAGACTAATGTAAAGTGGTAAAGATTGCGTTAGGTTTATGTAGAGATGTTATTATGATACAAGAAGGCGCTCCAATGATGCAGTCAAAGCTCGCGAAACTTATCCGGTTTGCCAAACATTTTACCGATTTAATAGAAAATTCCCCCCCCCCCCCCCCAACTTTCTGGGTCCTCATATTCTGTCTCTAAGATAGTGATCAGTTCGTGTACTTTTTTTTCCTTTCATTCTATGCCATAGTTGGAATTATTAAAGGATATTTTTAACAACTTTCATCAAACACAAGATCCAGTGGCGTAGCCAGGATCGTCTCAAGGGGGGGGGGTTCCAATTTTTACCCGGGGACAAACTTTCGATTTGCACCCCCCCCCCCTCAAACTTTCGATTTGCACCCCCCCCCCCTCAAACTTTCGATTTGCACCCCCCCCCCTCAAACTTTCGATTTGCACCCCCCCCCCTCAAACTTTCGATTTGCACCCCCCCCCCTCAAACTTTCGATTTGCACCCCCCCCCCCCTCAAACTTTCGATTTGCACCCCCCCTCAAACTTTCGATTTGCACCCCCCCCCCCTCAAACTTTCGATTTGCACCCCCCCTCAAACTTTCGATTTGCACCCCCCCCTCATACTTTTTATATATACCGAGGGGTCTATGGGGGGGGTTATGACCCCCCCTAACCCCCCCCCCCTGCCTACGCCACTGACAAGATCCATCCCCAACCAAACACGTGTTCCTCACGTTCATGGAAGAAATAAAGCTCCTCACAAGGCAAGCCTGTATAATACTTTACATCCTAGCCCGGTTATTTCCCTTAGCGATTCTCCCCCTTGGCCAGCTAACAAGCTGAATAAAGACTTATAACATCCCCACTTGTCGGGAGTTCAACATTCGTTTTGATTTAGTTACGGGAAATTATATTTGAGACGTTTCATAAACCATGAGTTATCGGTTTGTGCGCTGAACGTATATTAGAGATTTCTTCCTCCTTTAGATTCTGGTGTATAAGATTGAGATGCTTAAAGTTTTAGAGAGTAGGCTACTTGTGCTGTAAGATTAACTCTAACAATAAAAATCAGATTCTATTCTACTTGTGTTCTGTTATTAAATGTTAGGTTAAAGCCAGTATCTGAGATGTAAAAAAAATAAAATAAGGCGAGTCTAGTCTTTGACTGTCCACACTAATGTTATAGGTGTAACAAAACTACTCGTTTATTAAAACTTTGAGAGACAAATGATACATCTCACTTTTGTTAAACAACCGACTGTAGGTGTTTTATGGTTTGTTGACCAAGTAGTTGACCAAGTGAATCATATGAATGTTTATTCAGTTTTCTTTTAAAAGGAATCCTTTTATCCGGGTCCGTGGGTCTGGTGATGATGCGTAATGCAATGGGACTGATGAGGGCTGAAAGGTTGGTCTCCTTGGGTGGAGGGAGGGGGGGGGGGGAGTTGGCATGACGCACCAGAGGGTCAAGCGAAGGGAGGGGAGCGGGGTGGGGGATCCTTATCGTCCCTGGTTTGGTGAATGGCACAAATTAGAGCCCCGATGATGTGGGGGTAATGAGGCGAGGTCACTTTGACAATGTCAAGGTCGTGTTTTGTCGGTCGGTGGTAGACACCAGCGCCGTATGAATGAGCTCGTGACGTAAGCAGAACCTGTGACGTACACTGGGTTTTTTTTTTACGTGCTGTTACGTAATGTTTGCGTATCATTAGGTGCACAACGTTGCACATAAAAGTATGTGACGTAGGAAAATTGTATGATGACGTATTGATGTGTTAGTAAGGACGGCAAGTGTGTTGTAACCGTTCCATTTTTATGTGAATTATGAATAAAGAGACGAGGCAAGTCAGTAACAATAGCCCATACTTTCACTAGACAATTCAAGCATAGCATCCAATGAAAGCAGTTCTGCATCTTTTTACCACAACAATATAAGGATCAGGTTTCTGTAGGTTTAATGCTGGATTATGACAGATTAAAAAAAAAAAACTTGCTAGAGATAATGTCTCCCATGACACGTTGTTTGTGAGGTAATTACATAAACGGATATGCAATTACGCCATAGGGACTGCGCAGAAAGCGATGACCGGAGATTAGACACCGGAGCTTTCTAGGATGTCGTTGTGTCATTTTGTTTTTCATTTTTTGTAGGACAGGATGTAGGGGTCATAGAAGTTGGTGGGTGGGTCTTGTTGGGTGGGTCTTGGTGGGTGGGTCTTGTTGGGTGGGTCTTGTTGGGTGGGTCTTGTTGGGTGGGTCTTGGTGGGTGGGTCTTGTTGGGTGGGTCTTGTTGGGTGGGTCTTGGTGGGTGGGTCTTGTTGGGTGGGTCTTGGTGGGTGGTTCTTGTTGGGTGGGTCTTGTTGGGTGGGTCTTGGTGGGTGGGTCTTGTTGGGTGGGTCTTGTTGGGTGGGGTGGGTCTTGGTAGGTGGGTCTTGTTGGGTGGGGTGGGTCTTGGTAGGTGGGTCTTGGTGGGTGGGTCTTGTTGGGTGGGTCTTGTTGGGTGGGTCTTGGTGGGTGGGTCTTGTTGGGTGGGTCTTGTTGGGTGGGTCTTGGTAGGTGGGTCTTGGTAGGTGGGTCTTTGCGGGTGGGTCTTGTTGGGTGGGTCTTGTTGGGTGGGTCTTGTTGGGTGGGTCTTGTTGGGGTGGGTCTTGGTGGGTGGGTCTTGTTGGGTGGGTCTTGGTGGGTGGGTCTTGGTGGGTGGGTCTTGGTGGGTGGGTCTTGGTGGGTGGGTCTTTATAGGTGGGTCTTGGTGGGTGGGTCTTGTTGGGTGGGTCTTGTTGGGTCGGTCTTGGTGGGTGGGTCTTGGTGGGTGGGTCTTGTTGGGTGGGTCTTGTTGGGTGGGTCTTGTTGGGTGGGTCTTGTTGGGTCGGTCTTGGTGGGTGGGTCTTGGTGGGTGGGTTTTGGTGGGTGGGTCTTGGTGGGTGGGTCTTGTTGGGTGGGTCTTGTTGGGTGGGTCTTGTTGGGTGGGTCTTGTTGGGTCGGTCTTGGTGGGTGGGTCTTGGTGGGTGGGTTATAATGGGTGGGTCTTGTTGGGTGGGTTATAATGGGTGGGTCTTGTTGGGTGGGTCTTGTTGGGTGGGTCTTGTTGGGTCGGTCTTGGTGGGTGGGTCTTGGTGGGTGGGTTTTGGTGGGTGGGTCTTGGTGGGTGGGTCTTGTTGGGTGGGTCTTTATAGGTGGGTCTTGGTGGGTGGGTCTTGTTGGGTCGGTCTTGGTGGGTGGGTCTTGTTGGGTGGGTCTTGTTGGGTGGGTCTTGTTGGGTGGGTCTTGTTGGGTGGGTCTTGGTGGGTGGGTCTTGTTGGGTCGGTCTTGGTGGGTGGGTCTTGGTGGGTGGGTCTTGGTGGGTGGGTCTTGTTGGGTGGGTTATAATGGGTGGGTCTTGTTGGGTGGGTCTTGGTGGGTGGGTCTTGGTGGGTGGGTCTTGGTGGGTGGGTCTTGGTGGGTGGGTCTTTATAGGTGGGTCTTGGTGGGTGGGTCTTGGTGGGTGGGTCTTGTTGGGTGGGTCTTGTTGGGTGGGTCTTGTTGGGTGGGTCTTGTTGGGTGGGTCTTGTTGGGTCGGTCTTGGTGGGTGGGTCTTGGTGGGTGGGTCTTGTTGGGTGGGTCTTGTTGGGTGGGTCTTGGTGGGTGGGTCTTGGTGGGTGGGTCTTGTTGGGTGGGTCTTGGTGGGTCGGTCTTGGTGGGTGGGTCTTGGTGGGTGGGTCTTGTTGGGTGGGTCTTGTTGGGTGGGTCTTGTTGGGTGGGTCTTGTTGGGTGGGTCTTGGTGGGTGGGTCTTGTTGGGTCGGTCTTGGTGGGTGGGTCTTGGTGGGTGGGTCTTGGTGGGTGG